CTCTTTTAAAACAAAACCAAAAGGAAAAATAAGATGAAAGCACAATTCTACCATATAAGCTTTCTTTCTAATTTTATTCACATTTATTTTCATGCAGAGGAAAAAGACGATTCTGACCTACATAAATTGCTGTATTAGGCCTTGATTTCCTAAGAATGGGAGTAATTTATCCATTCCTGTCCTTCGTAATCTATTATCGACATGTAATCTTATAGACAAGACTCGTTCATCAATCTTTGAGTGAGCAATATACATTCTATTTTAGCCTATACTGTTGGATTTGTTTGTACTCATTCATTGTGAACAAAGTAAAATAGATAAGAAAGAATAGAAACCATATCATACAATGACGGGATAATTTCCTAAGCTTCTTTTAAGGGAGTCGAATCATGATTGACGCTCTGTGCACCCAAACAATTCCAGATGTGATGCTGGAGGGCATCTTTCATGACATTACTGGGCTTGTAAAAGATTTCTGCAGTGTCTCTTTTTCTGATGTACCGCGATGTTGTAATATGGCAGCTCATGATGTCGCTGATTTTGCAGCAAAAGTTGGTGGCGCTTATGTTTGGCATGGGTGGCCACCGTTTTGGCTTTCTCCAACATTAGCAACTGATGTAAACTTACCCTTATGTTAAATGCAAGACACCTTAAAAAAAAAAAATTTATATATAGTGCAGGTGTGAATTGGGCATGTTGGCCAGGGGCGGGAACTCACCCCCTTAGACCTAAGTTGTATAATGCAAATTAAAATAAAAAACTGAAATTAAGGTCTCGTTTGGGATTGCTTTTTTTGGGCGAAAATCTACTTCACTTTAAAGTTAAGAAGTTTAAGATGTTTGGTAAAAATAAAATATCTCGATTATTTTAAAAGCAGTGGTCTTTTGTCAGCAACTTTTAAAAGCAGGCTCTGGGTTATTTTGAAAAGCTGCTTTTAAAAGAAGCAAAGATAAGCCATAATAAATTTTTTAAATTCCCAAAATACCCTCATTCATTTTTTAAAATGACACCACCTCCACCACCACATCCAACTCTACCACCTCCACCACCACCATCACCACCACATCATCCTCCGCCACCATTACCACCACCACCTCCTCCTTCACCACTAACACCACCTCCACCTCCTCCACAATCGCCACCACCACCACAACAACCACCACCTCCATCTTCATCACCACAACTACCACCTTCACCATCTCCACCACCACCACCACCACAACCACCTCCTCCTCCTCCTCCCCCCCCCCCCCCCCCCCCCCCCCCCCCCAATCGCCCCCCCCCCCACAACAACCACCACCTCCATCTTCATCACCACAACTACCACCTTCACCATCTCCACCACCACCGCCACCACCACCTCTACCTCAACCTCAACAACTTCCATCCCCACCACCACCACCACCACAACCTTCACCACCACCTCTTTCACCACCATCTTCACCTCCATCTCTTTCACCACCTCCGCTACCACCACATAATTAGCACATTCCACTTTCAACATCATATCTATTTAAGTCATTATTAACAATTACAACATTTTTATATTAAAATTTACCGAATTGATACTACTTTTTGTACTAACAGCACTTTAAAAGAATTATTTACCAAACATAAAGCTGCTTTATTTTACAGTTAATTATTTTCAAAGTACAGCAAAAGCAACTTCTTTTTTTTTTTTTTTTTTTTTTAAGTGACAGCAATCCCAAACTAGCCCTAAATTGCACACAAGATTTGTTATGTGTAAAATCTTCCCGGGAAACACCACGAGACCCGGACCAATAAGAGTCAATACACTGGTTAGAAAGCAATATATAAGAGACTATTTCTACTTATCTCACTAGACTCGAGGAGGCACCCAAACCCTACGCTCCTTTTCTACTACTTCAACCACGCAAACTTCATGAACTATCATCTCTTCCAAAACCAGCACAGAACTCTATGAGTTTGTCAATCGCCTTGAAGCATGAACTCACCTAGACTTGTCTTATTGACAAGGCACATGTCACAACCTAGAAGGATGATGGATGTGACAGCTTCAGTAGATTTCACATGGAACAATCTACTGAACTTGAATGATATGCACCATGAACTACTCAAAGATGTATGTCGAAAAACCTAGAAGTTCATGGAAGAAAAATCACTCAAAAAGCTATGGATGCACAAACTCTTTTTTCGTGCATGCACAAAGGGAAAGACTCAGAAAAACAGGTTTTGTACTATAAAGCCCAGACTTAAAATCCAATCCAATGTACATTTAGAAATATGCATTAATTTAAGAATGAACATGTAGACATGCATAATGCATCTAAATAACTACTGAATATGAAAGAGCCTCTAAGTCTTACTTACCTTTCCTAAGGATAAGTGATGACTTAGAAACCTCTATGTAGCTTTGACTTCAACTTCGAGCTTTAACCTTCAAACCTTGAATTCCTGAACTTTGGCTGCTTATTTGATCTTAGCCTGCTGAATCATCAGTGGATTGAAGACTTTCAGTATCCATGTTGTCAATTTGAGAGTTCAGTGCCTAAGTTGCTCAATATGTGGAACATCATCTCATCTCGTTCATTTACAGAATCTTCCCTTAAAATCCCTTCCTCATTATGTAAAATTGACCTCAACCAGGCTTTGATCCCAAAACTGATAAAGAGCAAAGAGGAATAGTATGCAGAAAGGCTCCTCTTTGTTTAAATTAGGTATTCCCATTGCTGTAAGACTGTTAAGTGAGATCCATATGGATTTTATGAAACGAGAAGCGAAAATTGTAAAAAAAGGATATAAACCACTAGCAGCATCACAGCAATAGGGTTCTAGGAATCACTCCTAGAGGCCTTGCAACACACCTAAGATTAGGTTGCACCACAAAAACCTAGAGAGAAGCAAAACTGCTGCACCTTTATTCAATTGTCCAAAAATTTTGCGGAACGATTACAACAATGTAACTTAAGAGAAACCCTAGTTAAAAAAAGTTGTGAAATGGCCATGACATTTTGTTTTCGATAAAAAATGAAAGGTACATTAGAATGTACAGCACAGCTGCACAGGGGACAAGATGTACCCAAGACTTCAGCCAACTAAACAATCAACAAACCGAAGCCAACGGAAACAAAACTAATTAGCAACAGCCTCCCAAAAGGACCAGTCCTCAAAAATCTAAAGAAACTGAAGCCCACAAGGATGCCCAGAAGCAAACTCTCCATAATCTTCATTGCTGCCGCGTACAATATGTCATCTATCTCAAGTATTTAAACCTTTTGTTCAATTCTAAAATCTCTACTTAAGTGTTTGTAACTAACTCTCTTCCTCTCATCTCCTTCAAGACCTCTCACCACCGTTAGACATGATTTGATTCAAGGCCTCATAAAAAAATAAATAACAAATTGATATCAAAGGCCAAATAACAGCTGTAAACACAAATGTGGTGGCAGCAGTGTAACAAGGTTCAAGCAGTCATGGAAAATAAGTCTTTCTCAATCATACGTTACGGATTCAAAGAATAAACAATAACAAGAACAGAAATATAATTCAGTTTCTTTCCAGGCAGACAATGTTTACCAAGAAAACTTCATCTTCTTCTTTTCTTAAGAAATACCCCTAACTTAAATAACGTCAAAGACTCTAGTAGCAATTATCAATTGAACTTGACGAGGCCCAACAAAATCCAAAGTACGCTCATCATCTAATGTATTCCAAATTCAGGATCGGATATTTGAACTCTCTTTGCTACAGCTCTGATAAACTTTTAAGGCTGCTTCCTCTTATATTCCTCATTGTGAAGATTTGAGGTCCTTCAAAGGAGGTCTTCTCTATGTTCCTTGGAAGTTTGTTCTTTTAGGGCTTCAACTTCCATGGTAAGGGCTTCGCCCAAATATAATTAAGGCCCAACTAGACAACCCATATCAACAAAAATGCTCAGGGCCCTCTCTTTTCCAATCCAATTCCTCCACCACCACAAAACCCAGTTAGATTCAGTCATGATATACTGTTTAGTTATTGGAAGAACCCAAGTACTCTCTTTCGGATCCAGGAGACTTTTGGACGTGAAAGAATACCAATGATAGCTAAAGATGCATTCACTTGATGGATCAAAAAAATGGGAAAGATGCAGTAGGCTAATGATGGGGCTGTTGGTTAAACTCCATATTATGAAACAATGCTAAGAAATGTAGGCAGTGCCATAACATGAGACTAATTATGTTTCTGAGATCGTTTTTACATCCTAGCCAACACAAGTTGCATAGGAAACATTACCTTTTGGAAGTACGATGAGAGAGAGAGAGAAAGTGGGAGAGGGAGCGGTGAGCATAAGACATGTGCCCAGGTTTTTTAATATTGAAGCAAAGAAATTTTGAGTCAAGGTTGATGACCTCTCCTATGGAGGGTCAATCTTGATTACAGAGAAGATTAGAGCGCGTGTGTTCCATGTTTCTCTTGACCTTCGGTGTGTGGACTGGTTGGTCAGAGAGTTGCAGGCACTTTTGGAAAATAAAGAATAGAGATTTTTCCGACAATACAAGGGAGATTCTTATCAAGTGTGGGTGGAAAAGCTTAATAATGGACAGGGCCTTCACATGCGTCTGACGAAGTGCATACATGGCGTAGTTAGGTCAGTGGTTGTTCCTCAGGGTCGAAACAACTTTGGATGGGCCTTAATGAAAGAAAACTTAGAGGTCATATTGACAGGGAGAATCAACTCGAACAGGATCATCCCATCGGCTGAAACTGATTGTACTGTATCGTGTGGTAGAGAGAGAGGTGGGCAAAACTTAAAAGGAGGTGGTAGAGAATGGGCCAGCAAGGACGGCTACTGAGAACAACACCACAGTTGGGAAATCAAACTGGAGTTGGGTGGTGGCCTGTGAGAGGCAAGTTCTACATCAATCTTGGAATGTATAAAGTCGGCCCTAACAAGCTGGTTAGATAAAGATGTTGAGCTATTTCCATATCAGGCTGGCTTGGGGTCTCCGGTATCCCTATGTACTGGTGGAGAAAAGACTTCTTTGAACGTATAGGGAATGAATGTGGGGGGCTGATTGAATTGGACCGGAGGACGGAGAGCTTCAAGTATCTGTTCGAAGCAAGAATCAAAACCAGGAAAAATCACGTCGGATTTCTTCCCGAGATTGTGATTATCATTGAAGGTTTAGAGAGCTATTTTGTGAAGATCGGACCTATATCTCCTGCAATTAGGCCAACCAACTCCTGACTCCCTTCGCCTAAATTGGTAGGTGGCCAGAAACCGAACGACAGTGACGGTTCAATGTGGCTTGTCAATTCAAAGGAGACTCTCGCACCCCACGTGAGGACGGGAATGGGGCAATCACATCGAGAAGCGGAACTTCGAAGGTACCGAGAAGGATCACTGTAGTTTGGCAGCTAAAACGTTGGAATGCGGAAGTGGGATC